TGATTTAGCTTTGCCACGACAAAGTATATGCTAAAACTGACCTCTGTCAAATAGCTAACACTACATGGTTGAATGGGATTACATGCAACGTGACCAGACAGCTATACCGGAAAAATCTAAACAAATTATCCTTCTAAACCAGACATTTGGGTAGTAATAATAATGGATCGATACACGCTTCAACAACGCCTATCCATACTCTACGTATCATTATATGGTGCGGCTTATGGTCCGGCCGGATCATTGGACCTTACTTTTTCGGAAACGAGGCTAGAGCAATAGTTATGCTGAATGAATTGGACTATCGAGAGGTGCTTAATGATTTTTATGAAACGGAATCGGATGGTATTGATAGGGACAACGTTTATTTTCAACAAAAAAGGAGCCAAGTGACACACAGGTAAAGAAACCATCGATAAATTAGGGGAACAGTTTCCGGACTGTTTTATCTCTCGAAGAGGAGATCGCCATTGACTGCCGAGATCTTGTGATTTAATATTTTGCAACTTCTTCCTTTGTGAATGATAAGTTCTACGTCAACAGGTCAAAGTCGAGTGAAGATCTCAAAGAAGGAATTCGTAAAGCAATTTGAATGATATTTTATTCCATTATTAGTGGCATATCTTCCTCTTTCCTTTGAAATAAACATCCGATCATTTATCCCAAAAAATGTCATTTTTCTTTGAATATCAAAATAACACCTCTTTTTCGAAAACTCCGCATATGTAGATGTAAATTAGTTCAGATGTACATACATACATCATTGAAATGAAAAATATGGGCGAATAGGGTGGTTCACTCTGTAGCATCATGCACACAAAATATTACACCTGCTCTCTTCACATAACGTTTATATGTGTACGTATGTATGTTTGTATGTATGTATAGGTATGATCAAGCTTATACAAACACAATTACCTGGTAAGATGTGCGTTACTCAACATGAAGAAACTACAATTAGATCGATGCCAATGGTTTCAAAAATAGCAAATAAACGTTACTTATATACATACTTACATACATACACATGTATATACGTGAATTGACCAGTAGAAAGGTTTCGCCAGACGTAGCAATTTTCACGCAATTTTTTATTTCTTAACGCATTTTGGTGTCGAAAAAAATCAGTTTCAACCCTAACAGGCCTATTCTCACTGTTACACGAAATTGAATTTGGTATTCTGACGAACTGTTCACAATGTTTGAAAAAAATTTGGCAGCACTGCTTTTTATGTCCATGTCAAATTACAATTGCCAGTTGATAAAGTAAAAAGAAAAATATTCACATCGAAATGGAAGACGGTGCACAAAACAATTAAAATTTTTTATTAATTTGTTTATTAAATCTTAAATACTTGAACCTAATTATGGAAAATATGCCTGGATAACAAAAAAACGTTATCTTACAAATTAAAGCGCTATTTTTTAGTCACGAAAACTTCTTTGAATACAGCTTTTTGCACTTTTTTCTTCATCTACAATGTATTCGAGGCCTAAAATATGCCTACCCATTTTGTTTTTTTATTTTTTCTCAAACTTACAACACAAAATCAAACAGCAGATATTTTTGCTACCTCCTATTTCGCTGGCAACAAAATTTTCAGGGTAACAGTGAGCACAGAATACGAAATGGTAACAAAATTTAATGAATGGTAAATTTTAATACCTAGGTAAATTTTGTTACCTCGACAGAATAGGCCTGTAAATCTAACTTCTAGCAAGTTTATTTAATGTAATTTTAGAAATAAAAATCCCAGTGTGGGACTGCACTCATTTATGTGCATTTTCAAGAAAAATTTCCAATTGTTTGTGCTGCATTAGCAAATTTTTATTTCTCTTGAAATTGCAGCATAAGATTTAAGTAATGTTAGAGAAGTTTTTTAATAAATAAATAAATTAAATAATAAAGCAAATTTTCAAAACTTCAAATTCAATTTCCATGATTTTTTTACATTTGAAACTAAATTTCGAAATTTGCCATTTTGGCATATAATTTGAAATTAATTTATTGCTATGTCTGACGCCGCCTTAAGGTTTTCCATTGTAGTTACCGAAACTGAAGATCTGCTATGTGAAAGACGTACACGCTTGCACTTTAATGTGCTTTTATACAAACAACACATGTATACGTTTGCATACATACTCGTAAGTATGCATGTAAATATGTAATATTTACATGCCTAACAGTAGTTTTTATTAGTAATAGCCTAACTTCATTTGGAAGGAATTGTGTAAATTTAAAATGAAGAAATTTCCCCAATAGAAATCTATCGAATATGAAGCTGCTTGAAAATTTTAATTTTCATACTATTCAAAGGTTATCACATATGTGTATGTACATACATATATAGATAACTGAAAATCATAATCCAAGATAAAAAAGTAGGCGCAAAGTGGACCCACTCACTCAATATGTAATTTTTTTGTGTAATTTTCCAATATTTTAAGGAAGCTCTCCCACTTAGTATTGAATGTCCATGAATAAAGGATGCAACGCTAAATTTCTCGTTAATCAAAAAAATTCTATGAATTCCGTTGAAAGATTTGGAAATGTTTTCAATTATCAAAATTAATTTTATTTCGTTTTTGCCCGAAACGAAAAGCTGTCTTTAACCGTTAACAGATAATGTTAAACATCAGTCATTTAAATTAACGGTAACGGCAGTCATTTAAATTAACGGTAACGATGAGTTTGTAAGGTTTTAACATTAACAATTTCATTTTCGTTTTGATAACATGGCGCCGAAACGAAACGAAATCATTACGTTAAGTGTATTTTTCATATCAACAAAACGAAATCGAAATCGTTTCCTTCGGTGAGCATCTCTGCTATGAATAAATTGAATGAACTAAACCATTTTGAAGACAGATTTCAAAAATATAAATATACATATATAGAAGAAGCTAAGCATTGCTAAAAACATAAACTTAAAGAATAATTATTAATAAAAAATAATTTGCTAGTGATATCTTTATGGCTCTATAAGCCAAAACACATCGAGCCAGCTGATACGACCTATCCTTCGAGAGCACGATGTTAATAAAAATTGATACCGCTTGTTGCTGTCTCTACTGAAGGCGCTAAATAAGAGATCAAGAGCAATTCGGCTTTCTCTTCAAATCCCACTCGGCTGCAAGATTGCTAGTTGGGGCTTTTATAACAAAAAATTTATATAAATTACGCAACTGGATTTTTTTCTAACAAAATGAAAACTGAAATGGTAAATTAATCATTTTTAACTATGTATATTCAAATATATGTGTATATAATTGGCGTTTGGTAGCCTCTGAAGCGATTTTCGGCCGAACTCTTCCTCCAATTTGTGTTTTTTATTTTTGCGTCTTGGTGTTTTTCCAACGAATGGAGGGACCTACAGTTTATACTACGCCGCCTCCGAACGGCTGTAGGTTTTATATGAGGAGCCTTTATTTCATGTCAGAAATACACTCAGAGGGTTGACATTCCCTGCCGAGGGGCGATCGAAGTTAGAAACTTAATTTTATATTTAAATTAATTTTGTATAAATTGTTGGATGTTAGTACCACATATGGATACATATATACGAGTAGTTCACTCACATATACATATATTAGGAAACAAATTTTGATATTTGATGGCTGGCAACACACTAATTATTTTCTCTTACCGAAGGAAACTAATAAATTTTATAAATTTCATTCTATACCATAACTCATAAAAATATAAGAATGAAATCACAGATTTTTACCCAGCATCCTATGGTGGCAATAGTTTAGTCCGGCTATCAGTCGAGTCTGACGTTCAATTTGTAACTTAAAATGTCTAGAGATCTAGATATCTAAAAAAATACGACCTGATCATATTAGGGAAACGATCTCTCTATGCTTGTAATTCGTGCGGTTTATTTTCGAAAATTAGAACTTTATTGTGAAGAAGCGGTTGCTTGATCAACTCCTAATACTTTTGCAAATGCTTCTTGCGTCTGGCATGCATCTGCGTCGAGCAATGTCTCCAATTCTTCGTCTTGAAATTTTTTTAGCTGCCCGTCATCTAAGTCGAAATTGCCACTTTTAAACCGTGCAAACCACCTTTGGCACGTTTGTTCGGCTAAAGCATGGTCACCATAAACATCCAGTAAAATACGATGGCTTTCGGTAGCACTTTTCTTTATGTTAAAGTAATGAAGAAGAACTCCCAGCAAAAGCACTTTATTTGTTACAAATTTCGACAACTTTAAATGAATGAAACAAGTTGTCGTTCATGGTAAAACAAATGAAATCTACTGAAAACGACGCGAAATCACAGTACCTTTGGAATGAATAAGGCCGCAGATGAACACGAGGCGAAATAATACTAGTAAAGCCCGCTCTTAGAAAACCGAACGAATTAATGCATACACCCAATATTATTTTTTATTTTTTCTTTAAACTTCGACACATACAAATTTATCCGCAAGTAAATTTAATAATTTAATATAATTTTCTTACTTCGTTCAAATTGGTTAAAAAAGAAAAACCAACAAACTAACAAAAATTGAATTTTTAGTTAGCTGATTTCATTTTCATCTTGTAACTTCGTCCAAAATTTATTATCGTTTTCCCTGCTTTTATTTCCTTACCATGCATGACTTTTAGTACGTTTTTGAGCATGAAGTAATACATAATATAATATATATACATATATATATATATAAAGATGTGTGTACGTACCAACAGTTACTACAACCACACACATACGAGTACATATATACAATACATCACAAACTACTAAATAGAAATTATTATGTGCATTTTGTGTCATCTCCTTAGTGCATTGCGTTATGGCATATAACTGAGATCGAGGAGGGATTTTTATTGATATGAGTGAGTAGCGGCTGCTAGCCATATTCAATAAAAAAAAGGTAATTGCCAAGTATTTGCGAAGATTGAGGCCAACGTTTAACACGGCGATTGTGTAAACTTTTTCGCTTGGTACGAAAAAAGAAAACTGCTTTTCAGTTCACTTTCGTTGGTCAGTCGGCTAAGACGTGTTCAACTCTAGACGTCATCGCATCAATGTATAACTGCCAAAAATATACTGCATCGAGTTGCAACTCCTCTGTTATATTTCTTGAAGAGAAAAGTTACGATGGAAGTCTCTCAATAGCAAATATTGTAATAAGATCTCACTGGAGTAACCGAAATTATTTGGAGAGGGCATAAACCAACTAACATTCAGACAATATCCAAGACGAACATCATTTCGGCAACCTTCGTCCAATTTTGTTAATGCATGTAGTTTTACAACCAGACAACCAGACAACCAACCAACTAGCCTCGTTGCGCAGCCGCAATTCGAATTTGTGCTTTCGTACAATTCGGTCAACACCGTTCGCGCTTGCTACCCACTCGCCCGCTCGCTGCTTTGTAAATATAATACAATAAAAAACCAACTTGTGATAGTTAAACAACATAAATATACCACAAGATTACATATTGTTCGCAAATAAGGAAAGTAAAAGTGTTTTACTTAACATAAGTGTGTGTGTGTGTGTGTGTGTTCATATCTACTATGCAGAGGCCTAAAGTTACGAAACAGTTGTAGAAAGATTTCATAATACAAGTATGACGGTCATAAAAAGGAAAGCAAAAGAGAATATGGAAATAACCGTATTGAAATTGCATTGAAATTCGTTTGAAACTGGCAGCTTGCAGTCTGCTATTTCTTTGTGTGTGGTGTTTATAATATTTGTTAACTCTTATTACCATCTCCATTGTGCATAGTTCTTCAGAGTGTTTTCGACGTTTTTGAGTGAAATTCGATAAGCTAATAAAAGAAAAGCTTCCAAATAAACGCTAATTTGAATGTGCCCCAAATTATATGAAAGTGTCTAAAATTTATATCAATAACGAAATGCGAGAGAATCTTAGGCAAAAGAAGTAATCCTTAAAAAAAAAACAAACAAGTGAAACAACATTTAACAATCAGTGATATATTTCCATTAATATGTATGCCCCTTTGCTTCGTGAAGTAAATAAGCCCTATATTGGTTGCTTTGTCGTGCTATTATTGATATTGGCACGGCTGTCCGAACACGATGCTGCGATCAGAAATGTCGAACCGTTGAAAAATTTGAATACTACATCGGCAACGATGATTACCAATCAAAGCAGCCAAAATTACCAAGTGTCCGGACAGCACTACGGTGAAATGAACACTAGCAAGGCAGTGAAACCATGGAGCCCACGAAACGCTGTGCGGCTCAAGAATGTATTGAACATCTTCGACATAACTCATGTAGCTGAGCAATGGAGCAGTGTTCAGCAAGCGATTAACACAAATTGCTCCAAGGATATGGAGCAATATTTCAGTGGTTTGAATGCAGCAAATATTTGGGCGATGAAAAGTAAGAGGATTTCATTTGGCTTATCATTTAAACTAATAACTTGACCAAAATATATTTAATTTAAAAAAAATTCACTAACGTTTATTATTAAGATGGAATTTAAGAAAAAAAAGTGTGTTTTGTGAAGTTACAACAACAAAATCATTATATATTAGAATATTTATGTATTTGTTTGTCAAGTTTGTAAGGTGAAAAAGCTAATTGTTGTTGTTCGACTTGCATTTGCCACAATCAAAAAACGGAGATGCTCTCGTTCTCTAGCAAATTTTCCCAGGTAGTATTTGTGTAGTACAAATGTCCTGGACTAAGCTAATACCCTATATATATATTATATACATATATATATAGTATAACTAGGTGTACCCTGCAACGCATCACTGTTACACACACTCAATGAATGTGTGAAAAATGAATCACTGGATATCATTTCATCATAATTTAATTTACTCCATGTTTTTGGGTATATAACATTTTTGGTTTTACCAACAACCACGAAAATAAAAAGGTTATCTAAAACATGCAATATGCAATTGTCCATGTGAGAAGTAGTCCGTAGTCGGCACTAAAACGAAATATAACTGCGTATATATATATTTTTTTCTTTCAAATACATAGAATCATTTCCCATAACAAAAAATCAAGCGAAAAGAAACTTAAGTCCAATTCCTTCGAATAGGTGAGGCCTTAGGAACGACAATAACAACTTGACAAAATTTTAAGGCAATTGTAGGTAACTTTTTGAGAAGATCAAATCTTTAGAAATGGACATTCGATTTTCATATGTAAAATTGGCGCTCTGTAACCGCTGCAAGCATATTCGGGATATATTAATTATTTTCAAACTCGTATTGCGTGTCACCAATTCTATGAATATAATGGTCCACATCTTCAATGAAGTTTTGTTTGTAACCTACAAACAGTTCACTTAGACTTTCAAAACCTCCAAAGGAACTTTGCTTGCTCAGACAATGTGATTTCAACGATATTGTGGGAGACTTGGATCTTTCCAAATCTAAGTCAAACTTAATTTGATCAAATACAGTATGATGATGGATAATACAAGGGGATTAACAAAAGTTCGGTAAGTTTCTGTCATTTTTTTCTCTACATAATCGCCATTGATTTCATTGCATTTCTGAAAACAGTATTCAAAATCTTGCTTTTTAATCTTATTAAGTTCAGCATTAATTATCTCCTCGTAGCTGTTGAAGACATTTCCTTTTAAACTTTTTATAATTTTTGGAATAAGCCAAAAATCGCAGGGTGTTATATCCGGGGAATTTGGTGCTGGACGTATTTCTTCGATCCCGGAAATCGCGTCGTCATGATGTAAAGTAGCACCGCAAATCCCCTTTCTTCCTGTTTTCAAGCAAATTTTAAATCGGGTGAAGTAAACTGGCAGCATTACTTTCGCTGCTGATTTTTGGATCGTACTTGTAGAACCAAGATTTGTCACCAGTAAGGACTTTACGAAAGTTGCTATACTGACCATTTTCGAATTTGTTTAGGAAAAAAATGAGCAAAATGCTCTCTAACCTATTTTTGGACCTCATTTAAAATCTGTGTTACTCACCGAGCTGTGACGTCATGAGGGGAAGATTTTGGTCGACCTTCTCAGGACTCGTCATCAATGGAAAAATGTTCGGTCTGGAATCTACGGAACCACTTAGAAATAGTCTTTAAAGGCTGTGCAATCGTTCCATATGCAATTTTGCATTCGCTGAATGTTTGTATTGGTCGTAAATTACGACGAAACACGAAGAGAATCACATGACCAATTTTCTTTTTCATTGGTGGTGGAAATTCGTCTGACCTAGAGGTATTTAGATATAAGTATATAATTGGCGCTTTGTAACCGATGAAGTGATTTTCGGCCGAGCTCCTCCTTCAATTTGTTATATGCGCCTTGATGTTTTTCCAATATCTTATACTAAGCCTTCTCCCAACGGCTTATGGTTTCTTATGAGGAGCTTTTATTTCATGTCCGACCACAATTAGAAAATTTCAGTTAATTTTTTATTTAAATTAATTTTCTATAACTTATGAATGTTGACCAGGACTTGAGCCCTTGCCTTCCGAATGTAGCATATAGCGTAGTTGAAAACGGTTAGTTTGGTTACATCAGAACAGTAAATTAAATAAAGCGAAGGCCCGATGGCTGAACCCTTAGGAATCCCCGCAGGAACACTTTAGTTGTTAACAAAGACTTTTACTTCGTTGCGAAATTTTCGAACTCCGAAGTGTTCATTTAGTATAATTTCTTTTATATATGAAATGTTCCAGATTCTCTGCTTTAATTCCTTTTAATAATTTTTTAAAATTACTTACGCTACTCTGAAGGCCAATTGGTCATACAATTTTAAGGTTTACCTACTTTGTTAATGGAATTAGTTATTAATTTTTCCTAATTTTAGAGAAATACTGCTTTCTGCATGATTTTATTAAAACTAATTATTTGTTGGCGAAATCTGGAAAGCATTTTATCGTAATATTTCCCATATTATCAAGACCAGTAGCTTCTTAATTTGCAATTCGTTAATAAATAAAGACACAGTTTCATAATAACAAAAATAACAATAATGATATGCCCAACCAATAACCTTCATAAACAACGAAATTAGAAAAATATGAATTTGCTGAGTTTAAACTTCAATTTTCTGGTATTCCATGAGAATAACTTGCATGGGACATGGGACATGGCAGACTACGTAATAATGAAAAGATGAAGATAGAAATAAAATGTGGTCGAAAAAAGTAAGCAATCTGGAAAACACTTCTCAGAAAAAAATAACGAAGATATAATAGAAATTGGTTCTGGGAATGAATTTATATGTGTTAAAGAAGATGAGACTGAGCTATTCTCATAGAATGTCAGGAAATTGGGGTCCAAACCATAAATTCACACGTATTTTTCTGATTTCAAACATCCTCATTGTTTGTATCTACTATTCAAATCTCCACAGACAACCCATATCTAACCCACTTCCCGCCCATCCAGCCGAGGGACGCACGAAGGATAATCGCCTCTAGATACAGGTTCATGAAAAAGGAGAAAGAAATTAATTAGTAAGCTTTCAGTAAGTTGGTTTTGATACATAAAAACGAGTCAGAAGAATCAATACAGGCGGAATGAGTGTTAAAATCGTTGAATAAATATCTAAAAGGGCCGTATGTTTCAAAGTTTCTTTTGCAGAAACACAGTGAAAAGCTCCTAAAGTTTCTATAAGATCTTAAATGGATCAGAAAGTTAAGTTCGTTAAGTAGGAAGGGCCATTAATAACACTATGGACTGCCTGAGAATAATGATTTGGAGTAATTTCCTTTTCTAAGATCATTTCGCACAAGATGAAAGCGGAAAGAAAAAATTTGTCGCTCCTTTTAAGCCATGTTTTGAAGAATAAAAAGATCTCGACTTTATTTGATACTAATAAACAAATAGTTCGAATTTGTTTCGGCTATTTCTGCAGTTCCACATAATAACAGGAAGGAGAGTGACATTACTCAATAACATGAAATTGGTCCTGTTTGGTTTTACAATTTTCACTTGGATATTAAGTTTATAGAAAATATTGTTATTTCTTCAGTAAAAAGGCAGCTTGACTATGTCTCGTTAGCTGATTTGCGCGGCCAGACTTGAACCGATGGAATTTACTCTGTTCTTGTTTCTTGTGTATTAAGCACTTGAAATAAGTGCAACGTACCTGCCTACTCGGTATAGCAGGTGCAACGAGGACTTCCACAATAAAGGCCCTAGAAATAATTCCAGACATTAGGTCAAATAACATATAACCAATGTATGAAGCAGGACTAACAGCTAGCCGCCTAAATGTTCTTCATAGTCGCGTCCACTCCCCAATTGTGAAGAAGACCGTGGCACTCAGAAAATTATATCGGAGCTCGGGCTAAACGTAAAATGCTGCCGAGAAACGGAAACTTTCTACAATGTAGAAATTGCCACCATCATCTACGCCAGACCCTTAACACGTTCAAATGTTGTTTAAAGCATGAAACGTTTTCAACATGCCACTAAATTATTGTGGAGCAACATGGATAGTAGACAGACCAAACTGTTACTTTGGTATTTGGTATTAACAACGACTCTACCACTGAGATATTATCTCAATAAACCAATTAAAGTGCTTAGCATGTCCAGAGTATGACGAAACGCTAAAGCACATGGTTGGAAGAAACTTAAAGAATTTATAAAATCAAACGAATTTTTTCGCAAAGGCCTAGTTGGCATATACGGGGGGAGGCACAATGAGCCTGTTAAATGGCTTATGTGCGGCCGCTTGTGGTCAGATCCTTAGCCTCCCTCTTTCAATCAATCAACAAACAGCTTTCTTCGGAATTTTAATATTACACATTATGTTTTTGTTGTTTTAATAGGAAAAAAGTAAATAAGCATATATGCAATACAGTTTTTTTTTACTCGAGCTTGTCCGATCGTCTACGACAACCGCTTTGTCGCCTTCCTTTTATAATTCTAACACTAGCCTTGCGGATGCCGAAACAGATATGCTTGTCAGTCTCTACTAAGGTCTCTATCGATTCTATGAAGATTGCAACCAGAATCGGCTTTAGTTGGCTTCTCATCCTTTGTGAGTTGACAGTCATCTATTCCAGTTATGGTTTTGTTCTACAGCTTAAAGCATCGCTCCATAATTAAATATAGTGAGCCTTGGTCCCATGTCTCTGTTAGTGTGTACTACTGATACTTGCATGTTGTCCCTGACCAAATCACTATCGGCTGTCGGCTCAGCTCCATCCTGTTTACTTCTACTAAGTTCTGGGTTGAAGGGTTTAATGAAGCTTTCGTACTCCTCAACGATTATCTGTTGGCGAATTCCTGTTCTCCAATTGAGATCCGCACGCCGGTTCTACGGATCTTCGTCCTGCTGAAATACTATCTCAAGTTCACTGTTAATGTTTCGGTCAAATTAAATTGGGAATACAAGCTTTTTAAGTGTTAAGATATTCGTATTAATTCATTATGCCAT